CGGCGTCTCGTAAACTCAATTTAGCAGGCTGGACCTCCTCGAAGTCGAAGCACGTGGGACCTGAAGGGTCTTTGGCTGTCTCGCTCTCTGACTTCTCCTCGTTCAACTATCTCTCTCTATCCTCGCGTCTCCTACCTCGTCGCACCTGGTGTGCACGCACAGTCTCTCTATATCCAGGTACGAGCAATCGTTAAGCGCTTGTTTTACAAGTCGTTTAGACGTGGCCGCCGCGATACGGCACTGTCTGTCCGGCGCAAGTGCCACGACACTTGTCTACGGGGTGTTTTCGAGAACCGGTCCACGGGTTCGCTCGTTTTCGGCTACCGTACTGATAACGAACATCGTTCCACGATTCGTGTTCCTTTTGCCTGTGTCATGGCTGATCTTGCGCCTTTGGGATTCACCGATTTGCAAAATTCGAGTCAGTAGTCTTGATGGAATATTAAAAAATAGACTATGAGTTTACTAAAGAAGATTTTGCAAATAAAATAAAATCGAATGGGGATATAATAACATTAAACCTTGAAACCTAGCCATCCGTCGAATAAAATTGCAAGATGACGCAATCGAACATAACCTAAAATTTTCAATTCTTTGAAAATAAAAAAATCTTGACTGAAAATTCGGGGATATAATAAATAAAGCAGAATGCTCTCAAAATTGCACAACTAACCTAACAAGAATCTTAAAAAAAATAAAAATAGAAAAAATAAAAAGAACAAAAAAATAGACGAAACTACCAGGAGAGATTCCAAGGAAAGAGAAAGATGGAGGACAAGTCCCACGGGTGAGGCGACGATAAATCCGTTCGGCAGGTGAAAATCTCGTCGGTGGTTCTCGGCCCGGTTGCAGGGGAGTCCGTTCTTGTCCCCGCGGGGACAAGAATTATTTCCACGAGACGCGATGCAACAGATCCCACACGTGGAACGACGTAGTTCTCGAGTCAAAGGGGGGACAGGCTTGTTTCCACCGGTACTTTCCGCGCCACCCGTTGCATGCCTGGGTCTATAACCCCAGACGAGGTGTCCCCAGGTATGCCTTATCCGAGGCGGGATCGCGCGGTAAATTTATCCGCGTTGCGCGAGGCGCGCGCGCGCCTCGCCACGGACAGAGAACGGAATCTTTCGGGCATTATTATTTTCATTAGGATTTGCGACCCATCGCACGGCTCGGACATTTATTTGGCGGACCCGCTTGCCGCGACACCTACTGACTCGTTCCGCGCATGCGCGAGAGAATTGATGTTGAATCGACAGGGTTGCTGCTACTTTCTTCCTTTTACCGTGCATTTTTATTAATCATTTTGTGATGCTCAATGCGCGTGCAGTGGGTTGTAACGTTTGGTAATAAAGTAAAATGACGATTGAACTGGATACACGATTCGTAGGGAATAAAAATAAATTTGAAGAAGTCAAAAGTTCGACTGGAAGAAAGTTGATGTTAGAGTACAGATGGATTATCCTGTATATACCTATACAATCAGAGACGGTATCGTTCTTCGATTATTTTCCAATATCGAGGCAATAATTCAACGGTAATTTCGTTTCATCGCCGATAATGATCAGTCGATTTCGTAAAAGTACGGGGGGGATTTCGAAGATCGACGAACGGATAATTTTTATCACCGTTATTTTTAATCATTTCCCCGTTACAAAAGTATGACACCGATGGGCGAACAACAACTGGAATGGGTCGAAAAACCGTGGCGCACGCGATTTTATGGCATCAGCATGGTCTCGCCATTTTAAACGCCGCTGAGATAATGATCGAAGGCGCGGTTCTCGTTTTATTAATCGGCCAGTTCGTAAATAAGCTTCACTTCGAAATTCCGTAGCGGGGCTCCCCTCTACTCGGCTGGTACACACCATGAAAGAGAGAGAGATCGATTCGTTCGCTTTCCAGAAACAGAAACTACGGCCGAAAAACGGTTTCACGGCGAGATCGTGGAAAGATTCTATCTTACGAGAAACAACGTCCCTGACGCGTCCTTAAGGTCACCTCCTGACCGCAGGATACCCCAACAATGCAACCAACTTAAAACACTGACCCATGAATATTAACCATTTCGATGAAAACAAGTACAAAAAAGAAGAAGCAAAACTAAGTTGAATAAACTATTCAAAATAAGTATAATAAAAGAGAATAATATATTGTCCTACGATTCGTTAAAACAAGAGGTTAGAAAAGAATAGTTTGCACTGCGCATGCCCACACGCGCCACCTCAGCTGCGAAGAATCGGCCGGGCGAATCTATTAAAGAAAAACGTGATTACTGTGTGCCCCGCGCGCCACGAACCCTGACCCCGCTCGTTTGCGAGGGGGCGATATCGTGTGGTGGCTCGAATAAAGTGTGCGACAACGCAGGGGCGACAGAGCCGATATAATCCGATTTTACGAGGCGGCCACGAGAGAAAAAGATTCTACCATGGGGGGAAACGAAGAGAGCGAGCGCGACAACGACGGTAGAGCGACAAGGAGGGGGCGAGAAAGAAGGGAGATCCTATCTCGACCCCGTGCTGCTCTCTCCCGAGCGATATAAACTTAGACGCGAATTAGTGGAATCGCGCAAGCCGATACCATCTCATTTCGGCCGGTCTGGCGAATAACGCCATAGGAAATTTATCGGGAAATTAAATTACGAATTATGCTAATCCGACCGAATAGCCACTCGCCCCGTTCTCTGTCCGTCTCCGGGAGAATAAAATGACAACGCCGGCGAACAGGACGACGATGTTGTTCGAGTGTTACTGACAGATATGATCGGTCCATCGGTACCACAACGATGCTGTACTTTTCTTTATAATGTATCTCATGGGCTTTTCGAATTGCACGCGAGATGTCGCGCCACCCACCCGCCACAATCCGCCACCACAACCGGAATATTGTATCTCTTTTTCCTCGTTCCCGTCAACGATGAAAGAAGATGCTCGAATGTGGTGCAATAAAATGAATTACAACAAATTGTCGGATATACCTTGGTTCGTTTATTAAGGGCGTTATTAATTTCCAGGAATGTGCGTCGGACGATTCACAGTTGACGGAATACATGTAGGTGCGCGCGCAGGTATCGTTTCGTTCTTCAATCTACTACGTTGTTTGACATTGTCGTCTATCCTAGCTTCTTCTAGTTGTTTTAAGTTTATTGCACACGATTTCAACCAACGACACGAGGGCAACCTGGTGTTTCTTCTTTGTTGGCGTGATTTTCAGCCAGGATTTTTCGCGATACGCTCGATTACGATCCTACGAGCTTGCCAGAAAGGAATTTCGAGGGCGTGAGACGTAATGCCGCGTCTCCAACGATCGTCAGCGTGGCGTCTCTCGCGCAAGACACGCGTACACGCACGATTGTACATCTCTTTGACAAGTATGAAGGGGACGGAGAGACGGAGGATGGTAGAAAAGA